TCCGACGTGACCGAAATAGAAATCGCATTTAAATTGCGTTTTAAAATTCTTTAATGGACATCATCCGTTTTTGATCACTTATTGGACTGAAAAAAAGTTAGTGTTCGGACGCGATTTGTTTTAAAATACGACACCAAATTTTGATTAATTATGTTCCAGTAAGTAGGCATATACAGTAGGCGGAAATATATTTTCCCAGCTGATAAAGAAATTACCGTTGGTTTGGTTGAACCGCGATCTTTTTTGATGTCCCGTTTTAAGTCTTTCTTATGATGACGCATTACAATTAATCATATCATGTGAGAAAAACCTTAATTAATGATCCTTCTTCAAATTTAACTAATTGTTTAAATTAAGTAAGTAAAAGTTCCCCTGGTATAATTTTACATGCAGGGTAGCGCAATATTATGGCAATATACTCCCTCATTATTTATCACTGTTTGAAAGAACCTACTAATAGATGTTGCATAAAATCAAAAGACAAATATTTTAAAAATATATTCAATTCCATCGCGTTTCATAAATGGGTAGCAATGCTCAAATGTACTTTTTTAAATAGAACGCCCTATATATTTATTTCACATAATACCGCTCCTCCAAGAAATGTTCATATAGGACAGCGTTTGTTATTGAATTTCAATGCAACGTTGCCAACTTATTGGGAAAAAATAGAAAATAGATCGTTATCTGCATTGATTGCAATAAGAATGACGTTCTTAAACTGTGCTTATCAGAAAATAGAACAATCGCCTATAAAAATGCATTCACATTACAACATAAATTACTCATGGGCATAAAGTCGTACAATTTGGAGACAACGTATAAATAAAATGTTGACTCTATTTTCGCAGCATGTAATATTAAATAAAACGTTTATTTTTCATTGTTTCACAGCTGAGCCGTTCAGAAGAAAAATTGACAGAACTTGAGATAAAGGAAAATCTTGAGCACAATAATTTTTTTTATAAAAACCCAGATATTCAAATTATTCCATAAACGATCAAATTAGGAAACGTCACGTAATTCCCTTATTATTTAAAAATTCCAATTCAATAAAATACTTTGATACCATTTGCGCATTTTATATTTTTCGTGTGGGAAACCAATTCACGTCTGATAATCGGAAATCATATTATACACATACAATGTATTCAATACACATTGTGTAATTATATTTATTTTCAATCACCGCTTTTATTGGTTTAAGTAAAGTGCTACACAATGGCGTCGATTCGTAAAAATGATTTGAAAATCAACAAAGCGAGGAAGAGGATATTATTAATCTAGCCTTATTTGTCATTAACATTTCGTATTTTAATATGTGAAATAGGTACGATCAAAAAGCAAAGACAGTATTCAAAATAGAACCTAACGATGTTTTCAGGAAAATAAAATATGATAAGCAATTTTGGACAACAAAATATGCAAGTCCCAATGAGGTACAATGAGATATATGAAACCTGTACGAGTAGAGATAATGCACAATCCCTATAAAAGAGTTAATTAGTTATAAGGGAAATATTTCGACAGTTTTACGTCCTTTAAGACATGACATGACATGTAAATAAACGAACTAAAAATGTGTCGAGCTCGCTACTAATAGTACTAGTACTAGAAATTATATTCAGCTGTTAAATTTAGAAAACTTTGTCTAGTTGGTTTTTATTACTATATAGTAATGTACAGTGCTTAACAGTGCTTATGTATAGAGTCAATTCGGCAATAAAAGCTCAAGAAAAACCCACCCACTCGGCTCAAAAAAAGGAAGGAGAAATTAAAAGGGTGTAAATATTTAATAAATATTGCGGTTCCATAATCGTTAAACTAAAATTTGAAACTTGTACTGTATTTAACTAAGTACGTGTTTTAATTTAAACATTCTATATCATCATTTGATAAGGCACACATTACTTCACTAACGGGAAGCCAATATAAGTCAAGGTCGGGCCTTGATATTCATTCGGTTTCCGCATGTAAACTCCCAACATGTTGCTCATGGTTAATACGATAGACTACAATCGAATTATCCTCAGTTTTATAATATTTCGTACATTATATGTATCATATCGAAGAACGTATGCTACGTTAGTATTTTATTAAAAAATAAGTTGATTAGGCAGATTGGGTGCAAGTACAAATTGGTGGTCCCAAATATGCATAGGAACCACTACAATAGAGCACAATAATAAATTCCAGATCCAAATAAGATTCTCTTCTCCCACACTGATTTTCAGCGCATTAATTTTTTACCTCAAAAATAACAGACACAAATATAATATTAAAGAATATTATCATTATCAAGCATATATTACAAAATCAAACATTTTCATCTTACCAAAAAATAGACTTGAAAGTATGATGATTTAATTTCTTCTTCTGAATGTAATGGTAATTTGCATTCCGGACGTTAGAGATAAGGAAGGCAACTTGAACTTTACTCACTCTAGTGCAGACAGAGCAAAACCAGTACTAACGTTTTTTATCTATGCGCTTTTGCACCTCCCAGGCCATCTTCTAAGTAATTAATTATGTTCCGTATTTGTCCATCTTTGTGCTTTTTTTGACGCATTTCGTTAGAAACGTGATAAAGCCTCGAAATTCTAAGAATTTGTCTGGGTCTCAAAGGTTTTTTTGTGGTTTCGTCACCATATAGAAGCAATGAGTATTAAGTAAATAAAACTACTACAATAATTCATGTTTTTGTACTCCCTATGAGTTATGAACTTAGTGATATGCTCTCCAATAAAAATAGCACTGCCAGTTTTGAGTAATTTATTTACGTTTATTTAAACACAAAAGAATACGGACGGGTTTGCTGAAAGACTTTTTGAACATTGTTTAAACATATCGCAACGGAGCAACCAGTAATAGAATCTGATGAATACGATTTGAAAATGTGTGAAATACGTGGGAAAATGTTACATGCTATGCAAACGTCCAAACTAATCAGTTGATTATAGGGGTCGATTTTTACACTTTTATAATAAAATTTTGGCAAAAAAAAACTACATAAGTAATTAAATAAATAACATAATTTTGTGTATCTTATATACGCGTGGGTTTAGTAAGTTTAAGTAGCGTAAACATCACTTTAAAAGCGCTCCAGCGTTTAGTTATGAATTTTCTTTTTGTTATAAACCCAAAACTTTAAATCAGAATAATTTTTCAAAGTAACATTTACAGCTTTTTTTAATTGATTTTCTCTAACCGTATCCCAATGTTTCTATATAATTCACATAACCCTCTTGGGTAGGTTAGTATTGGTATAAATTTTAATTTGTTGTAATTGTCGTGAAAGTGTCGTTGTCAATACAAATTGTTAAAGAATTAATGGAAACATTGTATTTAATTATCACTTGGTTAGCAACACATCTCGCGCACCTAAAACCCGTTTTTATCTAAGTGTTACAGATTATCACGGTTATGATATCTGATACATTCAAAAAATGCCTGTTAAGGAAAACAATTGTAATAACAAAGTCCAATACGATAAACAATAAAGCGTCTCCTTGCAACGTGCTCTGCAGGAAGCAATTAACACTCAAGCTTTAGATAAACTATACAATTCCAGTTCAATTTCAGTTCTAGCTTAAACTACATGTGTAAATATTTCCAACCCCTCCCTTAAAAAATTGTCAAATATTTCGACTTAGATGGGGTGATGCTTATAGGACGTGTGCCCGTAAAAACATTTAAAAAGTTTACGGTTAAAAAAAACAACATTTATCTAAAAAGTTTAACGCCCTGCGGGTACCGTTTTTGAGTTATAAGTCTTCTTTAACGGATGTATATTAGTGTTGGGACTGATCAATTGACCGTCATTTGACTGCTTCTTAATTGACTAGTCAAAAAATGTTTTAAATAATATCTTGCAATTGTAGAGTGTTATCTATCATTATTTAATAATGATATGTATTTTATAATAAATTGTTATGCGTTTGTGATGTCCAATTTACCTATCCTAATCCTCTTCAAAGAATGTCAAAATACAATACTTAGCGATATGGGGAATCCCAATAATAATATCGACTTCATTTGGTTCTTATACCAACGCAACGCACAATATAAGCGAATATAAATTTCGTGGTTTTAAAATTATTTCGGACAATTGACATGAAAAAAATTGACCGGTCAATTGCACAACCCTAATATAGCTAGAGTTAAAGCGACTATACTAAAAAAAAATTTTTCATGCCAATAATTTCAAGTAAAAACATATCTTAAAAATTTTGTTGGCTTTTTAATTTCACAAGACTTCAACAATATCAAAGAAATGTGTCACTTATTAAATCGTTCTCGAGAAAGCTTTTGCTCGATTTTTACATTTCAAAGATTCTCCAAACAAAACATATTTCCGATGGTACATCGGGACTTTTCACTTCAATGTCAACAATTTAAATATATAAGGTGTCTGTGCCTGGTTGACGTACTAATTGACTAAATTTGAATTTCCTCCTATATCTGCTTAGAAAAATATATTTTACCTAATAAACAAAGACCAATTTTGTTAATTTATATTGTGGATAATAAAAAAATAAATAACGTTTACTTTTATGTGATGCCACGTTCTGTTTGTTTATAAATTCCGTCAATCATGAGATGAAATCATACACGCGCGCTCTATATTTTTTCGTTTAAATTTTTCATGTAGAAGTTGTGAAATTTTGTATTAAAGATGTTCCGGGCCTTATGGCTGAATTCCAGCTACGTTACTCACGCCCGCGAGTCACTTTGGACTTTTCGTATACTTTAGTCACGGGTTTCCGAAAGATCGCGGATATTTTCGTTAGTTTCTAGGGTATTTTTACGTTCGTCTATTGTGTTGGTCATGTGACTCATTTTTAATAAGCACTCCCTCCACTAGTGCCAAATCAAACTCGTAACTAAAACGGCGTTTATCAAACTCGTTGTACAATATAATATTAATATGAAATTTACAGAATTTTAACATTTAACGCAATTATTTTTCAGGAAGATAATTGACCAGTCGCAAAACTCACCTGTTTCACTTTATTTCTTCTTTCTCTCGTCACTGAATCCCTATCGTCGCCGCCCTGAATGAGAGGGTAGTGATCGCTGGACGCTGGCGGTACCGTCACCACGTTCAATGGCGGTTGCATCCCCAATTCCTCAGCTGCGACGTTCATGTCCATTTGATAGTTGGGGGCGTTCAGCGGTTGACCCGCCGATGACGGAGACGATGATCGCTTGATCACCAAATCGGGGCGCTCGAGAACCTTCAGTTCCCGATCCTCTTCAATTTTTGCCTAAAATTGTTAGAGAAATGTTTTTCTCCCCGTCTCTAATTCGCATAATTAACGAAGATGCTGACGGTGGCATTTTGGGGGTAACATTGGACTCAGTTTTTAAAGATATCGAAAAAAAGCACTCTAAAAGAAATTTCCACAACTATGGCAGTTAAATTTTGAAAATTCCACAATGTGCAAAGTTTATGGATTAAGGAAATCACTGAAACACAAAGTAAAGTACGATTTTTGTTTGTGTTTAACCGACGGTGTAATGTACAGTTGTTGTGTAATCGTGTGTAATCGGGTATTTATGTGTAATCCACGTGTAAAGTAATGTATGTGTATGTAACATAATCGGATTGTGTGTAATCAACGAGTTGATCCTGTGTAATTCATAAAGTCTTCCCCTCGTTAATCACTTTTGAGACAGTTCATAAAAACTTTTTTAAGTATTTATTACAAATAATTTTGCTAAAAATAAATGTTAAACACAATAGGACAAAAGTGAGAAGGGGAAAATAAATAAGACATAACTCACAGATACATAAATTAGTAATTAAATTTGTTCACTCCTAGGAATGCTGAATTAATATAATTAGTGTTTCTTGATCTTCATTGTAGTCCCTGCGTGTAACTTTGTTTAAGCATTTTTTAATTTTTGTTAATAATTAATATTGTAAGTACAGTTTCCTGGCAATTTATTTTTTAATAGATTATTTTTACATAGGATTTACTGGTTAGACTTTTTTTACTTTGACCCCTAACTACTACACCCATTACTTGTTAACACTAACAATGTATTATATAAAAAATATTCAGGGGCAAATATTTGTGTTGCAGCAATATCCTCCTATCTATGCTATCTAAATCCCACCATACTGTTGTCCACCGGGGATGCACACACTAACACAGAAGACTAAAAGTGATTAAATCATTACACACTTTTTATTTATATATAAAAATGATTCTGCAGCGATAATTGTGAAAATTAATTACGCCACAATAAAGAGCATAATAAATAATTAGCGGCGCGTAAAATACATCCACCTTTTTGTGAACTTTCTAGGTTTTAATACCAATATCCATAATTAGTTGCAAAACTGAAGATTCTATTTTTTCTCGCTCTATTTTTTGTCTAGGGAAACCAGACTCAAAACTAAATAATTCACGACGTAAATAAACAGAAATCATAACCTAACACACAAATAGGACTCTGACCCAGATTGGGTAATTATTTCATATCAGGCAGACGTGGTACAAAAGAATAACATATATACTTACTTTCAGTTTTTCCCGGTCTCCTAAAATGTGTGGATCCATTCGAGCATCATCTTCATGCCTTAATATTCTAGGGGCTTCTCTGCTGTTCTCCAAATGTGGTGGTGGCGGTATTAACAATTCGGGGCCAGCTCTTTTAATCTGATCATACACTTTATACACGCTATCCGTACTACTCGATGGTAAATAAAAAAAGGTACCAAAACATACTAAGGCGAAAGTGGCAACTACCACAAAAATCACGTATTTCTCCCGCGGTTTGAAAGACTTACGTGAAAAAGGCACTGGCACACCGTTAACGAATCTTTGGTAAGTCGGTAAAATGCCCGTCGCGCTCATTTTTTAACGATTCGGTCGTGTTTTTCGCGACGTTTGTCCACGGAGAGCCGAACACTTATCAACGAAACGTCATTAAAACGGCGACTGACCGTCAAAACTCACAGCTGTCGCCCGCCACCGCCACTCGCAGATTTCTACTTTGTTAGCGGTGATGGTGACCACGCAAGGACGCACAGGTGGGATAAAAAGGGACAACAAGCATTCAACGGTAGTTGTTTCAGACGTTTTCTCGTGTGGTACCCTCTTCCGGAAGCTTACATGAAACTCAGCCATTAATTTTAACGATTTCTGTAAAACACCTCCTTTGCCATCTTTCGGCAGCCAGTGGTACAAGTTGTAGCGCCCTCTAGCGCAAAATAGACTAACTTGGTGTACATTTGTTTCTTCTTCCAAATATTCAGGCTTCTATCAAGAGAGAGCGCTGATAATCTTCAAAAGGAAGAAAATTATAAAATTATTTACAGATATATCCGAATTTTTCCTTTTCTATAAGATACGGAAATAATGTGGAACTATAGCAAATAAAATATATTATAGGAACATCGCAGACAAAAAAAACTAAATACAATTTCGTGTTCGTGACCATAGGCTAGTTACCAAACCCGCCTTAAAAAGCTTTTCAAATAAATGATGTAATAATGAAGGCTTTCGTCTCGCGTGGTCCATTAAATATCCAGCTAGAAATTTCTAATGTCATGTGCTGGGGATTAAAGCAATTTAAACACAATTTATCGAGCATTAATCTAAAAAATAAGTAGGAGTTGACTAATACCAGAAAAATTTGTTCTACAGCTACCGTACAAGCATTTTAAAGAGATTTAAGTGCTCCCATAGGCTAAACAAATAAGATATGTGGGTAGGTAAGTACGGGGTTTTTCTAAAACTTGCACCAACGCTCCGATGGAGATTGGCTATCCATGACTGAGTTATATTTGTCTAATTCTTACATAGCTTGTTATTGAATCTTTTTTACCTTATTTATAATATCTTTCCGCTGTTCATGTGTTAGACCAGTTATGACGTACGCTATACAAACGAGGGCGAAGACTGCAGCTACTAAACAAATTCTTAGAACGACCGAGATGAAGACATTACGCTCAATCACAGGGAAAATGCCAAGACACAGAATAAGGAGCAATGAAATTAGAAGAATGTGTGACGTTCCGGATATAGTGAGATGGGCCAGAACTAGAAGAAGAGCATGGCGAGATCACGTCAATAGAATGGAAGACGATCGACTGGCGAAAATCGCAAAGGAAGAGAGACCCAATACAAGCAGACCTCCCGGAAGACCACCAAAGCGCTGGTATGAGAGCTGGACCTCGGAGTCACAACTTAGACTGCTTCCTTGAAAACACAAGACATAGTCTTAAAATAAGAAGATGAAGAAGAAAAAGAAGAAGATAATATCTTTAAGTGTAAAAATATGGTATGTATAATATTGGGTAGCAAATAGTATTTCATTGTTTGTTCACCTATAGCACACTGGATCACTTTTAGAATCAGAATTTTTAATGTCATTTTTTAATTTTCTGGAATTACGCAAACTAATACAGCAAAAAAAAACTTCCTCTGCAGTATTGGGAATAAAATTTACAATATTTCAACAACCGTTACATTTAGACGTATAAGAAGTTGTACATGAAATGTGTCCAGCATTTTGAGTAGAATAGAAATATGTGAAATAGCATTTTCTAACAAAAATTAACGTTAATCAGAGCGCTGCGGGTCTAATGTACATCGTATATAATCAAAACCCTTTTAAAATATATGCTCCTCTATTCCTTTATACTCAATTTTCGTGATCATCTAGTGAGGATACGGTTTCTTCTTTTTGAACCAATGACAAAAAAGGTCACCAAAACCATTAGACAAATTTTGGGTCCACATTTTCCAACTACGGAATTCGTGTAAAAAAATGTGTCACTTGTCCAGCAGTAAATGCATGAGTGCGACTTTGTGCTAGACAAAAAAAACTAATATTGAACATTCTCTCGCCCAAGAGGTATTTATGCCTTTTCCAGGCAAACAAGAATTATAACATTATTTTTTTTAATGTTTCACGATTTAATCAAAAAAGAAGCATATTAACTGTTATATAACTTTATATTTGTATATGCAATATCCGTATTTAAGAGAAATAATTGTATCAAAGTCCCATTCATTAGATGTTAAGTAATCGGATTTAATGAAAATAAGAGATCAAACTTCCAGTTGTACCCCATGCTATACCGTATATTGTGTTGTTGGAAAGTGCAGCAAACACTCCAATTTCCAACATTTCCAAAATTCTTGATGAAGACACTCTAGCAGACGCCAAAGCGTTAAACGATGATAAGAAATCGAACTGATGTGGGGAACTGACAAAGCAGAAACCGATTTTAAATTAAGACTTAGGTTACTGCATCAGCTTAACTTGATGATTATAGGCAACAAAATTAGTACCGTGATTAGTACACATGCTTGGTTTCAATTTTAGCGGTAAATCTTTGTATAGCAGCCAAAAAGTAATCAATCGATAAAACGCTAGCTGCAGCTTCTTCTTCTTCTTTCTGCTATATTAGGCCTATGGCCTGTTCCTTCATCGGTCGCCTCTCAACCTGGATTGAGATCGTCGTTCCATCTTTTTCTCGGTCGTCTCACGCTCCGTCTTCCGTCTGGTGATTTGTCTCATACGGATAATATGGTCATTCCACTGTCTTTTTCTTTGGAGCACCCAGTCGTTCACGTTGTCCACTCCGCACGATTCCCTGATGTTTTCGTTTCTTTCTCTGTCTAGCAGTGTTTTTCCTGAGATGCGGCGAAGAATCTTCATTTCCGTAATCTCCAGAAGTCGTCTAGTTTTTGCGGTATCCGATCTTGTTTCTGCCGTGTAGGTCATGATCCTTCACATTTCCATAACTGGTAATGTCAATACCCGGATATTTAAACTCTATCTCTTGTTGAATTATTTGCCCGTCCACTTCCAGTTTACATCTGAGCGGCTCTCTTGATATGGTCATACATTTCGTTTTTTGGGATGAGATAGTCATGTTCAATTGCTTGCCTGTGCGGTTGAAGATGTTTAAAAGTCTCTGCAGATCGTCTTCGTTCTCTGCGCATATCATTGCATCGTCTGCATAGCAGATAATTGTCACTTCATCATTCTGTACCCTCTAGCCAAACCCCCCACCCCCCACCCATAGCTGCAGCTGTGTTTTTAAAATGCTACAGCATTTTAATAACACCAAATATGGCTTAAAAGTTCGAAATCCTGAACATGGGTTTGTAGATTTTCCAGGTTTAGGGCCATGTTATTTACTCCAGTAAGTTCCAAGGGCCAAGACCTTATTAATCTTTTTGCCATTATGTATAATTTCTAAACTAGTCGCCGGTACGCGTTGTAACGAAGCATATACGTGCTAAATTTGCTGATTTAGTTACTATGATTACCATTGTGTGTATTGATAAGACTGTTACAACTTGCCGGCAGCTATTTGTCGATGTGAAGTAGTCGTTTGTAGATCCCTACATAGAACGACAAAATATAATAAATTAATTAATGCTTCCATTTAAATTTAATATGTTCAAATTAATTAAATTAGACGGGTGAGAGACAGATTGAGTCTTTGATAGTTCTGCTCTTTTAAGCGCCAACAATTTTAAACATTTACTAAAGAAAAACTAAATAAGGTGTTGCACGAACATATAAGTTTGACATGACCATTAGAGCTGACAGGCGTCAAAATACCATCAGCGTTTAAAATCTGTCGAAAACATTCAATAGCTCCCAATCCCGTGACTAAAATACCGGATACCAGCTTGGGAACGTGGTTAATGATTAGGTATTTTGGCGTAGCGATTACAAAAAATAAATGTGGACCTCCATTGAAAGAGTTTTTCTAAAATCCGTAAATAATAAATTTTCTATATTCATTAATTATAATGAAAAATGATTTTGCAGGTAGGTTTCTATAAATTATACTAGAAGTAATATTTTCATGGAGACGAGAGTTACCACTAGCAAGTAAGTAAGCAAGATTTATTGGTATATTCATCTATTCATTATCCTCAACAATTATTTGACTTAGAATGTCTTAGAATCAGTCCAACTTTTAAATAAATCTAGAGGGAAGACCTTTCTAAATTCACCCTACCATTTAAGCAGTGCTATTGCATTTTAAGTTTTTCAGGGTGATAGTGGATCATCAAGATTAATCAAAATTTTAATGAAACAGCTAACTCGAATGGTATTAATTTTAATCTTATATATAACTACTAATCAGTACGCTGGCATAGGCTGGTTCATTTTCCGTAATTTGTTGTTTCTACTGGAACGGACAGAATTGGTTAACGTCTGTTCAGGGTGTCTGTCCTATGCCCCATATTCTGGTAGCTTAATTTCCACTGGCTACAACGATTGGTTAGGTGGTCACTCTTTTTAAAGGGTAAATAAATTATGTTCCGGGTGTCTTCACTGTCACCCTATATTCCGATATGTTACTTTTTAATTGAAATATGAATGGATTATGTGGTCACTCTTTTCCAAATATCCGGCCTTTCTTATATTTTTGTTTATTAGTATTGTGAGATATGTTGTGGATGCGAACTTGTTTTCCTTATGAATGACGAGGATATCCTGCCTGTCTCTGTGGATTAGTTTTGGTTAGCATCGAATCTTCTGAAGGATACATTTTCGGACACATGATTATTCTTTTCAAGAAAGCTATATAAAACCCGAATATTTAACCGAACTTGCCAAATCTATGTATAAAAATAAAAATAAAAACGGCGATCTTTGATATCTTTTGAAATACTAATTAAAAAATCTATATTTTTCCGAAGTCAAAAATCAAATTACATGATCAACTTTAATTTTTCTCATGAACAACATTTCTTTATCTTCTTAATTGCGTATTTCAAGTTACCGTAGTACTAAACATCTGAAATCTTGCTGTCGCTAAAAATGTAATTAACAAATGACGAAAAGATATTTTTGAATGTATATCTTAACAAAAAATTTTATCTCAACATCATAGAGAGTTTGGAAGTATAAAATCCGCATAAAGTAAAACACACAGAATCAAGAGAGGAAACTTGCTTAGCAGCACATTAACAATAGAATTTTTGATTATTACACAGAACATCGAGCATCTGTTAATAATAATTTGAGCAATATCCACTTCCGGTATTCTTTTTTTAAATGAAATTTTATCATATATTTTTCATTCGTTCCTTCGTTAGTCAATTAAATTTTTAAATATAGAAGTTTTCAGAAAAAGCTATAAAAATCTTTCAAAAACGATTTTTACTTAATATTTATTATGCTTGCAACTGCAATGGTAAACTCACATGGTACGAATTTTCTGAGTTCGACAAAATATGAAACTACAAGATCGTAATAACAATGCTATTTGTAGATTTTTTAGTTTTAAAATAAGGTGGTAAAACATCTTGAAATTTAAATTTTTCGTCATATTTGTCAAACTTTGACTGAGCTACTCTGCATCTCTTCCTTTTCCGTCCCAATGGCGAGAGTCGAATTTGGAAAACCCGGTACCTATTTTGTTTCTCAATATTCAGATACATCGCGAATTGCGTAGGCAAGTATGTTGATGTTAATAAAGAGCTACTTGGAATTCTGTTCCCTTTGTATCTCAAAAAACTTCATTAATAAATAGAAAACTATGCGATCTGCACGATTCTTCGACTTTCTTGAACGCTTGGCAACCTCGCTATAGCACCTTGATGGTAGAATGTGCCGGTTCTCGGAGTTCGAGTTGAAACTGACGCCGACGACTTTCGGCCGCGTTTGCTTTGCTTCTACGTTCTGCTCGACTGAAGAAAATCGGCCGTTTTGGTTTCCCGCGTGTTTGGTTTGTTTTCCGACGCATTGACTTCCGTGGCACTGAAATCCGCCCTTATACAGTGCCTTGAATGGTAGTCAAGTCAGACTACTTGTTGCCGTTCAAATCTGCGCGAGACAGCGATCATGTGTGTGATGTAAACAATAGAGTTTGTTTTTTCGTGTGTGCGCGGACATTTAATTTTTTAAGGTAAATCAACAGTTTTCATAAACACTCTCCCAGAAATTGTTAAACTAGACATTTCAGTTGTGACCACTGTAATACGGAATTAATCGCCTACATCAGCTGAACTAATAGAAGTAAGTAGTAAAGGTCTTTGAGTATTTGGAGGTGCAATATTCATTACGTGCAGCTTTATTTACGCAGGACTTCGCACATGTTTAAGCCGCCACAGAAAGATTGTGACATACTGTATGGGATTATTATATATATTATTAATTTTGCAAGTTGAAAATGTTTCGAAGTACTTTTTGAATCCCCAATCTTTATGAACGATCTCAACAATTACTGTAAGGACTTAAATTGTACTATTACACTTGATGTTATACAAGTAATTTTCGTTGGTTACGGACCACTTGATCCAAAATTTTCCTTGTTTAACATTTTGTGTGCATAGTTGGTAATACTAAAATAGTTGTTTAATATAGACGAAAGTTATTAAAATGTTGCGTAGGTAATGAATGAAAAGTAAATTATTTTTATTATAGAATGTATTTCTTTTCATTATCCATTTACGTGCAACAAATATGAAAATTTAAATTATAACAAAGTTTATCGCGGTAATATAGAAGCCGCAGAAATTTTTGTTTTGGATGCACGTCACACAAGTCTTGGTGGTCTGATTTAAAGGAGGATAAATCGCTAATTCAAAATATTCCAATTTAGAAGTTCATCTCGAAGAAAAGTAGGAAAGATGTACGGCAAGCGCTTTTGTTATTAATATTTTTCGTATTTGCCGCCAAAATCAAGTAAAAAGTGTTTCTGAATTTGGAAATCCTCAGGGGTCCAGTATTTTAAAGTTTGAAAATAACAGAGTCCTGGAATACTCAGCTAATGACGTTAAATTATCCAAAATCAGGGAAACTAAACCTATGCTTTTTCAATTATTCATTTTTATTCCTTCTATTAATAAAAATGTGTTTTGGTTAGTTTTCGAGTCTAATTATGATGTTTTTTATATTTTTTTATTCTACTATCAGATAAAGACAAATGGTTGCATAATATTTTCTACTCCCTACTCTAAAAATACCCGTTTATGCACGGATCAAGCGTGCGGAAAGTGCCACTTTAAGACGTCAGCCTCTGATATTTCCGGTACTTTAGTCACGAGTTTGGAAACGATCGGATGTTTTCGGTAGATTCTGGCCATAGTATTTTGAAGTTCATACATCATTCAGTAGATGTTTTCATAGTGTTTAGTGCGCAACATGTTCATAAACTTCAGTTGCTCGTGCCAAATCAATAAATAAAAAATCAAACTCGTGACTAAAGTGGCGTTTATTAAACTTGAATAATATAATATTATATAGGAAAGCCTAATTTGCGTCAGAGACATGGAATTTTATTTTAAAGAACAAGAAAAACATGGACAAGGTTATTTTTAAATGGAGTAATTGCAACAACACAATAAGGTGTTCTGAAATTAGACTCTACGTATCTTCAAAATGAAGTTGTGGAATCTTATTTATAAGAACTTTTATCTGTATTCATTTTTTAATAATAATTTGGGAACTACCAATCCATTCAGCTATATATAACTAACTGAATAACTTAAATTATAAACTGCTGAAAATGTGGTCGAATTAATTACACATTTTAAATGTGCATGAATGTGCGCATACCTACGCGATTTTTTCTGACTTTTTTAAAATAATTCATTGTTTATTGAATAGATAGTTTTCTTTTTCATTAACTGCGCTTTATTTATATACCGGATTTCGGCGTTTACTACTTATTTTAGTTGAAGTTGACTCTATATGTATTATTCGCAGGGGGCGTATGTCGGGAAAAATTAAGAATGTAATTAACGGAAATGGAAATTGATTAACTGCACATCAAATTGGAATTTTTAATTTAAATTTAAAATATCAAACATTATGAATATAAACTAAAGATTTAAACATAATCTAAAATTTTGTTCCTATTATTATTATTGCATATTTTTATTATTATTATTATTATTATTATTATTATTATTGCAAATTATTATCGCAAATATTATTATTATCAGGGGTATTATTAGCGTTTAGTTAATTTATCACTAATAATAAGTTATTGTTTTAATTTGTCTTCCAGTTCGTCAACACGTTTAATTCTCTCGATTGTAAAACTTGCACGTATTTTCTGAAAAAATAGGTTAACTGTGTGAAGTCAATCATTAAACGAGGTGGGTATGACCCGACTAAATGTCGGTTTATATTTCGCGTATGTAAGCAATGAGATTGAAGTGAAACTGTGTATTTAATCGGATACGTCGTCATTGAAACGAAGTCAAACGTAGTAGATTATAATAAACACGAAGTTAAAATGAAAATTAAAATACCGTGAGTTCGACTGTGGGTCATCCGAATATCTTTAATATGAAAAGTGGAATTATCTCTGAAAGATCGGCCAATTTACTTAAATATACAATTAAATCCAGTTAATGGGTAGGTAGTTAAAAAATACGACCCGTATTTCATTACAGCAAATATAAACTTCAGGACATAAAAGAGAGAGTGAACACCTTTTGGAAATTCCTAGCACTAAAACGCCAAAGAAACAACCAAAAATATCTATTGAATCTGTTCTCCGAATTTGTCTAGAAGATTTATTATCTAAAATTGTAGGCTTAGGCTCTCCAACAGGTGAGGGTCAAATAATAAGAGTTCTTTTAAGCCAGCCAGGTAGCAAGTTTCAAACTCGGTTTCAAAATAGTAAAATGCCTTGCTCGTTGTTAAAATAATCATCTTGCTTTGATGTGAACCAATATGCGTGAGGATACCTTAGGGACGCAATTCTCAGAGTCGGTGTATCTATCTAAGGTACATTTGATTGTTTTTGTTTTATTTATAAAATAATCTGATTTAATATAAGTTCCACGAAATAACAAACCTAACCTGCAATGTATTTTTTTGTGTGGATGAATATCCAAAAAGGTTTGGTACACTTTAGGTACCGTTATCTGCAAAATTACTAGAAAATTATATAGTTTGTTTAAAATTTTTATACCCTTAAGGTTTTTTCATTGATATATCCAACAAGATGTACTTAATTAGAGAAAAATTGCGTTATTGGATTTGTTTAGGATTTGAAAATACTCAATGCACTTACACTATGATTTTCATTCTACTAAATGGTGTCACGCCAAAGAAGAACTCATGCACAAGTTATATGAATGCGTTAATAATTCTTCAAAGACGTCTTTTTGTTATTTATGTCTTAAACTCACTAACCAAACAAAGAAAGGTTTGGTTGGTCAGCAGAAAGCTCTGTTTGATTTTCCGTTTAATAGGTACCCGTTTTGACTTTTGCGAGTGGGATACAATGCCTGCTACATTAGCATGTGAGTAAACAGATGTGGGTGTTGGTCGTCTTTAAATGGAGAATTTGTGCGAAGTTCGTTGACGTATTTCGATCAAAAAATGAACGTACAGTACAGTTATCCTGGGTTTGTCGTGTGAAAAATAAGTTTCCTTGAATATGTCCAAATTGGGTACGTCATCAAAATCGTCATCAAGTTTTCCGTCGTTTCTCTCATTACGAATAGGGTAGAAAATATTCAAAACTTATTCTAGATATTCATAGAAAGATTTATTCGCCTCGATTGTTCCGGAATTATTAGCGTTTTTCAAAAATAATAAAAAATCATGGTAAAATATTTTTAAAAAAGTTGTCCTAACATATTTAGCGTCGATTTTGTCAATTACATCCAGATAACGATGATTTTTGTTTTTAGTTAGTTTTGTTAAGTTTCATGCTCGGCATCACGTTTATCATGTTCATTATGGTAATTATTACAGTTTTTCGTTTTAAAAGCGAAATAGAGGCGCTTGAAAGATACTTAATTTTCTAATTTAAATATTTTTTTTACTATGAATACCATTAATAATTCGGCCTTTCATTTCATAAGCTTGACTTATATAATAGCAGTAGTTGATACAACAAAAATTCGTGACCAACAGCAGTTGGTGTTGTTTTTTAACCGTGGTACATTGAATAAATACATCTACGGAATAAAAAGCAGATAGGTGCATACAAAAATATTTTGTGCAACTTCACTGTCAAGTGCTATAAAACTAGTCAATTTTAGATAAGAAAATATTATAAATTAATTAATTTTCTTTTGCCTGCCGATTTCCTCTTCATTGAAATTCATGTAGGACGCGGGCTTTTCCAAAACATGTTGGGGAAATATGATCAGAAAAAGTATATCGAAAAGATTGTAACGAATTCGGTCCGTTTATTTATCTTCTCATTGACGTAAAACATATGCGTTATCGCTTAACACTTGTGCCTGGAATTTGATTTAGGTATGCTCTTTATCCCGTCTGGTGGTTAAAAGTAACCATTCGTGCATTCCAACGTATTTATCGAATTTTCAACCTTGAGCCTTGAAGTTTAGGTTTATTTTTCTTTTGTCATTGCGTTTTAAAACAAATTACCTTTCAACAACACGATCCGATCGTTTACGCTCGTGCTTTACGATAATACAGACGCTTACAAGAATCAATATTCGTGGTGCAGAATTTCTAGGTTAAAAATAGTACTCGATATGGAATGTAGAAGTATATCAAGAAAAACAACGGAAATTTAAGACCAACGCCAAGGTTAATTGTCAGTCAACATTGTAAGATTTGTCATTGTAAAATTTAATTTCTACAGCAAGTCGAGTCGTGATAGAAGGGAAGAGAAATAAGCATTTCTATCACGTACAATGTAGCGGGTGTTCCAAAATATGAATTTTTATTCTTGAATGTAAAAAAAGATGAAGTTCACATAGAGAGCAAAGTGCAGGCCACATCTTCCATAACAAATATGTTACTAACGGAAGGTTAACTCGGAGGGCAAGTAATTATTTCATGTAGAGAGGGTTTTCAAAAGTGTTGAGGAAATTTAAAGTACTTTTCCTTTAAATTGGACACACTGTACCTAACTATTTCATCGTTTTCAGCTATTGCCTCTATAACACTTTTCTTAGGATTTCGCTATACCTATTAACTCACGTTTTTAGGCAATATTTAATTTTATTAAGCATTTTCAAATCTTATTATATATATTACATTTATGACAATAATTATTTAATTTCAATTATTTATATTAAAATTATATTAAATGACAAGGAAATGTTAAAAGAGACATTAGCCTAATGTAATTGTTTGAAGTTTGATTGATTTAATAGCGTGCTTACTTGAAATATAAAAATTACAAAGGCAGCAGATAGATAGCAGAAAGATACAAGAAAACGTTCTCCCTTAATATTTTTTTTCTCCCAATTAGTTGACAATGTCGCAAAAATACAAAAATATATAGAATGTCCATTATAAAAAGTAAATATTTGTATTATTGTGAGAAATACACTGTATAATTGAAAATATCTTTAATTTTCGGTTTTATGCAAATTTATTGAAACAATTTTTCGGAACTGTGATAACTAAAGACATAGAACTTCGCCATACCACTGCGCTGTATATGCTTAGTTATACAGTTAGTTATCCAATATGTATTTGATAGTATTACACCAATTATAAATATAGACCCTGTTTGAAACTCCTGGAGTTGGCAATGTCATTTGAGTTTATTTGTGTACAGGAGCTACCGAAAACCATATGCGACAGGCAGATTGTCAAAAATATATAAGATAAAGCATGGGTTAAAAATTGTCTGCTTAGTTGGTTGCACTATATTTTATTTAAATTAACTTCTTAATATCTGCTTTATTCAATTTATATTATTATGTTCTTAACTAGAATTTACAGATCAGCTTCAAAGCATAACTTTTCGTGTTTAATTTTTTGACTTATTTTAACGAGTACCAATGTAGCAAGTCAACACACCAGCCTCGATAAAATATGGTATAGCATAAAAATAATCCGTTATCTGTATACGTTTTTATGATGTGTGAACCGTACCTAGGAAGATCGGCGCGATATTTCATTCTCACACCTCTGTCTTAGCGCCTTACTTTAACGAAGTGTTGGTGAAATTAAAACGACGACCCACTTAAAACTATGATAGTTTGGGCTTTTAACGTTTACGACAGCAGTGTTATATACAGTTCTACAAAATATGTAAAACAATGTGGATCCGAAAATTTTTATTATTCAAATATCTGCTCAGTTGTTTTATGCAAGAAAAATGTCACCCCTCTTATTTTCGTGCCTTTTTTAATAACTTGGTAGCAGTGTATTTATTTTAAAAATTATAAAAAAAATTAAAACATCCCATGGCAAGTACTTTGTCTCTAAAAATGTAGGGATCAATATTAAAAATACCATCGAAAATCTGAAACTTCACTTTTTTTAGCATTTATTTGCATTCCAACCGAACAAATATTAGGAATTCTGCGTTATTTCCGGACTTGAATTTGCTTTAACAATACAAACAAAAAACAGTGATACTTAATATATAATAATGCATAAATAATCCATTTCCTCTATGTACGCTGCACCTTTCGTCGTCAATATTAGTAAAACAGTTTCAACGCAAAAAAAAGAGATAATTCAATGGAAATTTGGAACGACTTATAATTTTTTTTTTTAATTTTACGAAGCAAATATATTTGATGACCACAGGCTATTGAAATAAATTTAATAACTTAATTATGTTTGCACAAATCTACTGGACTCCTGCGTGCGTTGTTGCTGACGTTTCGCTAACCATCATGTTAGTTTTTTTAGGGCTTAACTGGATGATTAGCGAAACGCCAGCCAGTTAGATTCATCAATAACCGATCCAGGTGGAATCCAGAAGATCTATAAACCGCATTACAGCAGCCTGCAGAAGTGTCTTTGAAAAATTAAATTTAATAGTTCATTATCAGACTCTTGCTGACTTCCACATTTTTTGCTACATTGGTAAAACAGTTATAAAATACGTTCCTAAAATAACTTTAACAGTTTTTGGAGCAGACAAAAGTTCTCAGATTAAATTCAATTCTTGAAATGAAGTTATCACAGCATTCTGTAACAATATCGTAGTCATAAATAAAATTGTTCACAGTTAAGCTCTGAAGAAACCAACAGGATGATTGATCAGCAAGTTCCATTTATCAACAACCGATGCAGAAGGAATTATTTGTAAATAGTATTACAGTAGCCTGTGGAAGTTTCTTTGAAAAGAACCTCTCTGCTGTTCTGTGCGATCGTCAGGTTGGAGTACAATATTTGATTCATAAGCAAATAAACAGTTTAATCAACCCCACTTTGCATGTATTCCTGCAAAAAACACATACGGCCGTCGTGAAGTAAAATTGAGTTCGTGTAAACGATTTGTAAACGGTTTCTGTAGAAATGTTTATATTTTTATTTACCTGAACCTTATACCTCATACTCCCATTGGTCCCCACTGAACTGTACCGGTGTTTTGTTCTTGATGAATTTAGTAAACCATGTTCCTGAATATTTTTACGCATTGTTTACGTATAAAACCCAGAAAACAAGCTCTAATTACCTTTTTTTGTATGGTTATTCTAAAGTTACTTTATTTGTACATGGACCAAATAAGGTAATTAAATCGCTTGCTGCAATCGCAAAATATTTCGCGCCATTTTTCGAGACTTATTTTTAACGAGTTATAATTAAAATTTCATTGTCGGCGATGTTAAAAGCGTACGCTTTTCGGTTCGTTCGTACGTATAGATTTCACAAGCCAATCCCGTCTGGGGGATTTCAAATACGATTTTCCGATAATTTGTTTGCTATATTTAGAAACCCGTTATTTTCAATGTGCCTGTATACGCCAAGTGTGAAAAATCATACAACAATCGCATTAAGTTTATTTATACCACATTGTTGTATATCTCTGACGTTTTGTTTGGGTTCGTTTGTCAGGTTTGGAAATCAGTTTTCTTCTTTCTTCAAAGGAGATATTGGCAATGCACCAAAATTTGTTTCGGTGGTGCTTGCCATTAGTTCGTCGTAGTCTTTCCGGAATGTTTCGCAAAGATGGCAAAATAGATTTTTTTATGCTTTAACAGTAACCTAGTATCGATTGGCATAATTAAATGGTGATTTTGAAAGGAAGTGTAAAAGTGGCAACAAATTCTTGTTCCTACGCTGTATGCCTATACTGGCCAGTAGAAGCTTCCAAAATTTCCAAAATCTAGTTTTTTAAGTTTGCATGATTTATGAAATAACAGTCGATATTTTTCTTGCCAAATAGTCTTTAACGACCAAAGAGAAGCTGCTAAATTGTTGGTATTTTTGATTCCCTGTTAAAGAAAAAAATATACCGATTTGGTTAGTTGATATATGACTTGCGAATATCGTATGTAGGTTTCATGATATAAAATCTTACCCAAAAAAAAAAAAGTTTTCTTTAAAAATAATGCAATATCCAAGGAAGATTAAGTTTTTAGGTTAGACACAAGTAGTTGCTAGCTAGACCTCGCAAATTCAATAACACTTTTTTATGTATTGGCCTCAATAAGAAAAATAAGGGTATTATTATTCTTATTATTATTATTATTATTATTATTATTATTATTATTATTATTATTATTATTATTATTATTATTATTTACTCTATAGCTTACAATCCTTTACATTATACTCGTTAATTGAAATATTTTAATATGTTTCAAGCTAACTATTAGTATAAGCAAATTACTAAACTCTATGGCAGGGAATTATGCACCTTGGTGAAACTGTGTTGTTGCACTATGCACTCGCACGGCTCATACAGTACATTTTCATTGAGACGAGAAGTAAGAAACAAAGGCAGAATGCTTACGGAATAACTATAACAAGAAATAAAATATCCTAAAAAAAAATTCTACTCCCTTGTCTAAAATAGCCAAATAGTCAGTTACGTTTCTACGGCTGCCAGCCACTTCGGACATTTCCCGGATATTACCACATTAGTTTGGGAGCAATCGGATGTCTTTTGTGATACTGATTTGAACTGAACTACCGAAATTGAAACGAAACGCAGTAATTATTGTCGTAATACGAAAGTTGCATTAGTTTTTGGATACATTTTTGCAAAACAGCACGAATATCTCGAACGAGTGACATGTCACGTGATCCGTCAGAACAAACCCATAACTTCGCAAACGTCCGATATGGATCGCGACCTTGGATATTTTCAAGTAGCGAGTAGAAAAAGAAACTGTTAGTGCCTTCTACAAAAGTATGAATGGAGTTTTGTATATTTTAAATTTAATCGCAATATTTGAAAAGAAATGTAGGTCGGGATCGCGAGACACTAAGCAGTTTATTCAACAACCGCCTGACTAGAGTAAACGCGCCCTTTAAATTACGGTGTTTCAATGGGCAATCCGATCTGATCCGTTTAAACTGCAAATGAAAAATTATCGCACGAAACATGTGGATTTCAGTTTTAGCATCTAACTCGCAATGTACTGTTTACAAAATTTGTATCGTCATGGATCATAAAATCCGCCTCCATTTAGGTGTAAAATTTTATTTTATTTTCAGGGCCGTAAAATGTAATCACCGTCCTAGACCTTAACTGAAACGGTCGTTTTGTTCTAAAACGAAATGGCGACCCCCGGCGTCTCCATGCCTCTGATGCCGTCGATTGCAACCCCCTCTAGGGATTCGATGACTTTTACGAGCACGAAAGGTCTGCTAAATGGACCCGGACAGAACAACTGTTTCTTAAACAGCGCTGTACAGGTAAGCAAGTCCATGATTTTTTTCTTTTATTTTGTATATTTTGGGGTTTTGCACCCATTTAAATAACCAATAATAAAATTTTAGTTATAATGGTAATAATTGGAATTTCAAAATATTCGTCGATAGGGGAAATTTATAGCAAAAATGTTACTTTGATTTTTTTATATCAATACTATGTTTCCTGGTTTGAGATTTTCAATTGACATTTGGCAGATAAGATAGTCCAAACCAAATGACGCGTCAGATGCGGATTTAAAAAAAATGCTGTACCTATACTTAGCCCAAAAATATATTTTTTTGTTTAGAATATAATTATTAATATATTCTCAAAAGAACATTAACAACGGCACACAACTACTGTTTAAACCAAAACTTAATACCTATAATTTTCATTGCTTTCTTGAATAAACCTCGAGGGAGATTTTATTTTATAACAAAAATATATATATATATATATATATATATATATATATATATATATATATATATATATATATATATATATATATATATATATATATATATATATATATATATATTCGCAATTTATGTCATGGCGTAATTTCTCCGATATACTGAAAGGAAAGATTATAATAGCCGTTACAAAAGTAGAATTCACATTTGCATTTTAAGGAAGATTATACGTCAGACTTTAATCGGGGACACCTGATTCGTTTACATATCCACTTCGATTGCCCCAAGCAATTTATCAAAGCGGCCTTTAAAGTTTTATTTCTAACAACCGGGTTTAACTCGCGATTCAATAATGTATTTATTCATTTATTCAAAGACATGTTTAGCTTTTGGATATTATAATACGCGCTTTTTCCGTAAAGCAATAAAATAGATAATTGGGTTTTAACTCTCACACTGTCACAAATGTGAATAAATAAATTATTTTCAAAATATTGTATAAATTGTTCAGTGCTTAATAATTAAATAATCTAACATATCTTCTTTCTTTTTTAATCACTTCAATAAATATATTATAAATATCATACCATTACCCTATGATCCCAAATTTACAAATAGGTTTTTAAAATTTCGTTAATGTGCGAGGGGCCATTATTATTAAAAAATTGCCGAATTCCTTTGTTTTTGCGTTTAACTATCCTATTTGGTTGATGGCACTGTTATTCTGACTTGACCGAATTTCTCGATGCAGTAAGACTCCCTTGGAAGACCGCATTATGTAAATTTGTATATTTCTTGTAATGCATTTTAATTCAGTGTTTGTTCTAATATAAAGTGTTATTCCGACGTAATAATAAAAATTAAGTTCATACCAAAGAAGCTGAGTTGGTATAATGAGTTTGTTGGATGCCAATATTCACAAATAGTTTGCAGTGACCACAATGACCCGCTACTAAGCATAATAACTTTTGAGACGACTACAGTATATTTGAATCAAATCTTACATAGAAAGTACTGTTGTTATCCTATCCTCTTAATTCTATGCTATCCCAAGATGTTTTTCTTAATTACTTATAATCAACCAATTTAATCTTTCGTCTAATGCCTTGCTCCGGAGATTGATCCATAGAGATTTTCCGATTGGTAGAGACATTTAGTTCAACAAGAAAGAAGAAAAAATTCTACATACACAAATAATAAGTTTTAGTGAAATAACAGTCGGACAAACACATGCCTGTAAGACCAGGTCAAAAGCAAATATAAGCGGAACAAATAAAATATCGGCTTTCATCTGAACACGAGCCATAGCGTCTACTATTTCCTTTTGTAGAGAAATTCTAGCTTTAGGAACGTTAAGCAAAGTAAACCTCTGTGCATAATTTATATATCGAGTGACATAAAACTTCGATACGCAAATATCTAGATGTATCTTTTACGATCTATTAATTAAACTTGAAAATTCAGGGAGACATGTCGCCAAAAATCTCTTGTTCGCAATTTTTTATTAACGTCAACCGTAGATCACGAAAACTAATTTAAATATAACTGTTCCTTGCTTATGTTAATGTTGGCCGGTCCAGTCGCATAGGCTAATATGAAAATTTATTATTTGATGGGCTACAGTTAAAAATCTTTAAAAACACCCACGCTTACATTGCTCGGCATATACGTCATCGCCGAATTTATGGTTTGTATACGTTGATATATTTCGGGTATGGAATGTTTCAAATATATTTCGCGCTCAGGTTTTATTTTACAAAAGTTCCATAAATACTAAATCCAAGTAATGAAACTTACTTTTTCGAAACTTTTCTGGCATTCTTACCCACCGTATTTTTTACATAAAAGAAACTGTGATAACAAATCCAATTTTCGGTGTATATAAATGTACAGAATATTTCAGTAGTGTGTCGGCAGTGACATCTTAACCTAAAATTATTTTCATGTATACGGTATGTCCCATAAATGCGTAAGAAAGTAAGGTCATGTTTTTTTACACATATTTTGTTTAACACGTGCTTCATCTAAACCTAATTAATAGTTTTGTTCACGATTTACTTAATTATGGAGGATTGCAATTTTTGTCAGAAATAATATTGAAACTTCAACCTTGACGGTAATTCAATCATCCAGCATTATGCAGAGTTTCCCAAATATGCTAAAGCAATTAAGAAATTTTAAAACATTATATCTCAATTTTTAATGGAATGCCCAATATATTTCTGGTCATTCTTTTGTTTGAGGTTTTTGTTTTATTTACTTATTTATTTATTATATTCAATACACCAAGCATTCTAATGATACTTAAATCACAAATACTTTTCTAATCGATTACTAACCACGTGGTTTTTACGACATGTATTTTTTGTTAATTTATTTTGAAAAATGTCGTAATTTATTATACTGTATTAAAACAATTTTAACCGCTTGCATCTAAAATAACAAAACCGTTGTTTGTTATGACACTGTTACTATATTCATATAAAATTTAATACATGACAATACACTGAGCAATAGTATGAAAAAAAGAGAAATGATATCATGAAATTTCATTATTTGATTTACATATTTGGCACACTATATCTGGAAATCGTATTAAGTCATAGTTTCTGTAATATGCCTGTCAAATTAAAAGTCTCCATTAAAAGACTAATCGAGCACATTTTTCAAATTCCTGTATTGTAAAATGGAGAACATAAAAAAGGTATGAAATATGTTATACAAAATATGTTTAAAATTAATAACAGAATCTATGTAAATTTATGGGATATTCTGTATACATGCACCTCATGCACTCATGAACCAATTTTTATTTTGTTTTCTTTCGCCAGTGGTTTCCATCCCCGCACTATTAGGACATCTTATATATGCAAAATTGCACCAAAAATGATAACAATGATAAGGCGCAGTTCACCAAATTGAGACAAAGTCTCTAAACGCTTCTGTAACCAGTGGCATTTCGATTTATATTACGATCATCGCTTCTAGATCTTTACGATCCACCATTTTTATAGGTGGGTGCTCATGACTAATAAATTATAAATAATTAGTACAGAAAAAAAAGTACGATTTAATTATTTTTAACCCTTTAATAATATATCTGTTGCCAACAATGGTAAAGCTTGCTTAGATCATAATGTCATAATTCTATGAGGGAGTAGCAAGGTTAAATTAGTACGAAGAAGCACGATTTGTAGAAAAATACGTAGTCTCAGTTTGTATTTGCTGAATTTTTGGAATTACTCACATCACACGGACCAATACAAAATGTCACGAAAGCCAAAGTATCCTGCTGAGTATCATCTTAAATTTCATGCGCGTTTACAACACACACGTTATTACCATCAAACGAATTAAAATGATTATGGCCATAATGATGAACCAGCATTACATCCATCTTATCCACGCGTGTTTGTCCGCATTCCTTTTCTAATTACAAAACCGAAAACAAAAAGGGATCGACCTCGGCCTCGGGCGAGGTAAGTATATGCCCGAACGAACCCAGTATCATCAAAGTCCCTCTGAAACTGGTTCTGCAGAGAACGTATGCAACGCATTTGGCTTTATAGTCTGAAATAAGAGTTACTTATTTTGTTTGACAGTGGTTGCTAGATCTATTTAGAACTACACTTATTTAACAATTCTGGAACCCTTGAACATTTACAATAAAACGTGTATAATAGCAACCATCAGAACAGTGCAAACAATTTTCAGTAAAACCACTAATCTTGATTTGCTTCAGTGTTTTTGATTCATAATCACAAGTCAATCATAAATACAAAGCATTAAAATGACAATAATACAGAAAAAATTAATAGGAGACAATCAATTCTTTGTTTTGATTTTTTCCTCTGTAGGTACATTTAAACTTTCTTTCTTTTCTTGCAAAATTCGTCCATAACACCTCGCTCCTTTTTCTCTTTTGTAGTATTTTCTTCATATTTTCTGTACTAAGCTACATAAGGATACTTTTTCTACTCACTTCTGTAAAATAGCTAATTATGTACCGATCTAGCTTGCGGAAAGTGTCATTTTGGGAGCAATCGGATGTTTTCGGAGATATAACCGTATGGGAAACCACAAATGAACGAATGTTCAAATTATCGAAAATCCCGAACGACGTTCGGTCCCTTTTCGGAAAGTCTCGGTGAGTCTCGCCTCGCGAGGCATCTCGATGTAGCAGACGCTCAAATGGCGGACTTCGCAATTTGACAGTCGATACTAGATAGGTATAATCCGAATACGAATTAGGAAAACGGTGCTTGTTTTAAAGATACAGGACGTATATCGGTTGTTAAATCCGCACAGATCACATGAATTCCTATGCATCCGGTCAATTATTGTTTCCAAAAAAATGTAGGTTAATTTTATCGAAGGGTGTTGCAACCCGCATTCATTATTAACCCGTGAGTATCTTTTGAATATTTTGTTGTCAGTATCGCCCCATATTTATTACAGCCACCGGCTAAGGTAAAAGTTGACGTCTATCACATCAAATTTATAAAATTTTTATGAATGACAATGTCCACAAGAGGTAGGGTTTACAGCTGATGATGGGAATGAAACTGATTATAAGCCGACTGAAT